GCTGACCGATGTGCAGACATTCAGAATCTTGACCCCATACCCCACTGCACGCAAACCTTTAAGCCAAAGAGGTTGCCCAGCTAGACTGATAACCCATCTAGGATAATGTAGCAATCCGGGGTGCTAAAAAGCTGCATGTTGCCCACCCCATCCAAGCTGATGGCTGATCAGGAGACAGTGGGGGGAAAGTAGATTATGTACCCTGGAGCTCCTGCGGAGCGAAGGAAATGGCCAAGGGCTGTGGCATTTGCGTATGTGAAATAAATGTTTAGGGTCAAAACTAAGCTGTGATGCCATATGGAAGCATTGTTCCTTTCCCAAAGTACTCCTTGTTCATATGTTTCTTTTCCAAACAACAGCATCTCCCAAATCATTACAATTTTGTCTAAATCATGAAGTAGATGCTTGGGTATATAAATTGCAACACGGCAGCCTTCCACTCTGATGTACGTTGGCCAGTGACTGGCTTCTAGAGGTACACAAACTATTTTAGGAGAGGGTGCTGTTCGATGTGAATTTCCTGTCCTTAAATAAACCAGCCGTTCTTATATAATCTCAAGCCAGAGCCATGAGCTATTGGCACAAATGTGGGCAGAATTTTAAATAAATTAATTTAGAATTTTTCCTGCGCAAATAATATCCAGAGTGTGAAAGTAAGGGTCTGGGAAGAATGTTTGTCTCCTGTGGTTCCCTGCTACTATATAGCAAAGTGAGAGTCATCTTGTGGTTGTCATCAGGAAAAAGAGGTTCTTATTTGAAGAGCTTTGGGCCGTAGAAGCAATGAGCATCCTTCTTAAAATCAAAGTAACCATGGTGTTCATATACTTTTCTGCTGAACATTGTCTTGGTAACACTTCTTAGCCTTGTTTGGCAGATCACTTATTTCCATAAGAAGCAGAACTAAGGCTCTGAAACTTAAGTTCCTTCTCAGAATGAAAAGTCAGTTTCCGGCTAACATGCTGGGGCTTGGTGGCAGAAGAGGAACTATACCCACTTCCCATGTGAGTCCTGCTTGAAAAAGAGGTGTCAGTCTAGTTTGAGTTCCATTGTCTTAACATTTCTACTTCTCTTCAGTGCTGTGATCCAAAAGTGTCCTAGTTTCCTTCAGTTACTGAAAGATTTGCCTTCCTCTTGAACCAGCTTTTACTTGTTAACACCAGACCATTATGTCTGGTAATTACAGTACTTCCTTGTAATTTACTTAGCCCTTGGTGTAACAGCTGATGCGTGAGCAACTAGGGAAAACATGCAGGGAATATGGTACCACCTTGGATGACACCATGCTTAATGAGTATTCATTAAGCCTGATTAACAAGATAGAACTAAATGTGTTAGAAGTTCCAACACCTCTTTCACTTCTCTTAATGCTTTTGTGCGGGTGGTTTTCTTACTGCCTTACTCCATCTGACTTATTCCTTTCTACTTTATTCCTTGCTTCAAAGAATGAGTCATTCAATAAAACTAGGTCATTCTTCAGGGTGGGGCATCTTCTGTGGTTAAGGCATCACTTGGTTAAATTCTTCAGTATTTATGGTTTGCTCCATGAGAATTTTATTCATTGTGATAGTAATGTCTGAATTTTAGCTTTGCCTTGCAATGGGCTTCCACAGGTTCTTACAAACTTTGGCAAATTCGTGCAGATAAACCAAGCTTTTGCTGGCTTGTTGCATTTAACTGGGAGAGGATGTCTGGTTGGATCTAGGAGGTTGTAAATTCCTCTAAGAAAGGAGGCAGTATCAGTGTCTTTGAAATGTCTGGTTGCTCCTGAAAGCACCTAACTTCCATTAAGAAGGTAAACAGAGATGATAGATATTTCCATAAATGCAACTTGTATTTACACATATGTAATGACTGATGCAGGTCTAAGGAGGTTGTTGGGTGGAGATGTCATGTGTATGCTGTGATTTGTTTTTTGTTCTCATTAAAATAGGGAATAGCTACTTTTAAAACCACTAAATTCACTTAAACCCTTGCTCAGTGTTCAGAAACAAGATACCTGTTTTGACTGATTTTTTTTGCTGCCCATATCCATTAATGAAGAACAAAAATGGTTTGGTTAGTACACCTGACACCGAACATACAGCCTGCTAGCTTACCCACTCACTAGACCTTACCAAATGAGAATGTGGCATTATTCAAATGGCAGAGCGTGGACTTGTGAGGCTGAAGAGGAAAAGCCTTGCCAGCTGGGCAGCTTCTTAGGGTTTTCACTTAGATTCATGAATTATATGTTCAGCTTGAAATTGGTTGGCAGCCACTCTCCAGTTCTTCGTTCTCCCTGCAAGAGCTGTTTCACCTTTGGACTCAGACCAGTAACAAGGTCACATTCCCCTACGAGGCAGCTTAATGGCTGGGTGGAGATGGTAGGATGTGCTCTGTCCCTGCATATGTTGGGGTGTGTGATGTGGGGGCAGCAAAGCAGAGAATCAGACTAGGAAGAGTCAGGAGGTATTAGGCTGAAGTTGATCAAAGCAAGTTGCACAGCTGTGACACACCACCAAGGGGGAAGCCCAAACTCCCAAGGCAGTTACGGGGCTGGAAAGAATGGACATGCAGAACATCTTGGCTCAGATCTGGGCCAGGCCCAGGCTGGGTTAAACGAAGGAAACAGTGAGTTGGCTCTGCCACCTGAATGGAAGGCCTAGAGAGGTTACTTACTTCTTTGTTAATGTTCATCTTGGGAGTTGTGCAGAGGAGCATAGTGCACCAGTCAGAACAAAAGGTTTTCATAAGGGTGCTCAGGCAGTGTTTGATCTGGCGGGCTCTGTCTGGGAGGGGAGTATGCTTCAGGATTGGGCTGTTTTTCTCCACAGGCTTTTTGATTGGTTATCTTAAAATAACCAATACTCTTAGCAGGCTGGGTGGTGGCATGCAAGTCAGGCAGGTATTTGCATGTTCTTCCTGATCACAGGGAGGAAGAAAATCATGATCTTCCAAATGAAAATGTTTCCTTTTGTAAAGTGTAAGAGTAATGCCAATTTAATTCATAGCATATATATGAATTTATATATAGCTGAAACCATTTGCTTCAGGAATATCATAATAAGTAATATAGGCTATTTAGCAATACCCCTTTCCTGGGCAAAATCCTCAAATGCATGGACAGTTAGCTTTTGCTTTCCTTGGATAAAACTAACTTTCAAGACCTGCTTTGATCTGGCTTTAGGCCTGATTTTGGAACAGAAACTGTTCCAAATCCTGGCAAAGGGACAGAAGGAGTGTGAACATGTTGGTTCTGGTGAACTTTTAATTGGCTTTCAATATGCACTGTTAAGCATTTTTAAAATATATCTGAATTAGGATGTGGGAACACTGTATTACACTCCTGCTTGGATAATTAATTCCAGAAGAAGATGCTGGAGGATTATTGCTCATCTCATGGCAGCTGTGCTGTGAGGTTCACTGGAGTTCCATGTTGTCTCCTGTGCTTTCCAACACGTATATGAAGCTGCTGGGAGATTCTGTTTGACCACCATTCATCTCTCCACTTCAGAGATTCACCTTGTTCTGGAGGTGGTTGTACTTCCCCTAAAGAATCAGGTTTTTGCATTTGGATCCTGTGTGATCACTAGGAACAAGTACCTTAGTACCACAGAGTGCTTTTTTTAACTGTTTGGCCTAATATACCGGCTAAAACCTTACCTGGGCAGAAATTTTCACCCATTTGGATTATTGTAATAGGTTTGTTGTAAGTCTGCCTTATGCAAGGCTGTGTAAATGGTTACTTAAAAATTGCTCGGACTCTGGGTGCATAGCTAGATTGCAGACCTCAGCTTCCAGGATTTTGGAACTAGCCAGCTTGCAGCATGTGATGGCCTCATTTAGAGGACTGATGTCTTACACCAGTATTCACTTGCTTCAAACCCATGGGCGACCATCCAGGGTGGCATGGCAATGAGGCAGGTGTCATCATCCGAAGATACAAATGGGGAGACATGGTTGGTCCTGTAGCCTGTTTCCACCCTACTCTCCGTGCTGTGAGAAATCTAAATTTCTACTGTGCATCGTACAAACCGCTGCAGGGAACCTCAGTTCATTACTGGTCTTAGACGACAAGTGAAACTTTGGAAAACGTGTGAGAAACATGCCACTTACCTTTCTTCATTGCCAACATGATTTCGCTCTCATTTGAAACCATAACAGTCTGGAGGTGCAGTTACATGGAAGCTGAGCTTCTCCACTTTAACATGTGCATAATCCAAGATTTTGTGTCATGACATCCTGGGTAATAGATAGTATCATTTGTCTCCCTCCATACAGCTATTTTCTCTTCTTGTATGCTCTTCTTAGTAATCTTGGTTTTCACAATTCCCAAGCTTCCTTTTGCTCCAGAGCTGGCCCTTTATTAGGACCAGAGTCTCCGAGATGTTTCCTTATAACTGATCTTGTTCTTTAGGACTCTTCATCAGTTAGTGCCACAGTTAAATGACTGGTATGTTCATATTCTCGCAGAAAAATAGGTAAAATGGTTCACTCTTATATAGGCTTCTACAGGTGAGGCCACTAGCTTTATGGCAGATGTCCACATGTGGCCACTGAGTGCTGTGTTCAAGCCATGGAACCATCTAGAAATCGTTGCTCTGGGTACGCTTTCTTGGCATTTCTTCATTTGTCCATCATCAGAGAGAACCTAAATTAACAAGCAGGTTACCTGTATAATTTTCTTCAAATTAGGAAGTACTGTGTACTTGTAGGAACATTTTCAGTCTTGACTTGCAAGTATGGCCAGTCTTTTTTTAACCTCATCGTTTTAAGATGCACGGTGCAGTTACACAGCCATGGTTTGTGGTAAACAAGCACAGCAAGGAACTGCTCCGCTGACAGAAATACTGCTCTGTTACACATGGAGAAACTGAGGTGTAAAGAACTTACATGATGGAACATTGGGTGAAAAACGTACTTTGTTACTTCTGGCTTTTTTGTTTTACCATTGAACACAAAGCCATCCCGAGTGGCCTGCTGGTTTCTTTCTTGAATGGTGTGCTTTTTCCCCCTCTCAGGTGTAGCTGACGATGAAGCTTTTGCAGACGAATGCAGACGCAGAGGACAAAACGCCTTGCCTTTCCAGCCAGCTAATGTCCGTTCTCCAAAGTCCCTGAAGCCTACAGCCTACCCCAAGCATGTCTTTCACTGTAATAGTGATGAGGATGATGACTTGGTTATGACCGGCTGGGAGAGTCCCCTTTATTCATCAGGTGTGCACAAAAGGGTGAATAAGGAACCGGTGAAGGGGGCAGAGCCACTCAAAAAGCAGGAACAAGTACAGAAACAGGAAACAGTGGTAAAGCAGGAAGCAGTAAAAAGAGAGACATCCGTTAGGCAGAAGCCAGAATCAAAGCGCTCAGTAAGAACACGGTGCTGCATACTGATTTAACGCTAGAAGTTCAGAAGCTGTTTTTCCTTTGCATGTAGATTAGCTTCAGAATACCCTGAGGCACACACCCATTTGCAGAAGTTACTTAAATAAAAATTAATGCCTTGTGCCATCTAGTATGTACAGCTTACTGCCAATCTCAATGCACGGTTTAGTAGCTGATGTTTTACTTGTGTCCTTGCTCCAGATCCAGGGTGTTAGCACATTTCTAGTAGCTAGCCTAGCCTCAGTGGTCCCTTCTGTTTGTTTGCACTGTGACCTAGGATTTTCAAAGCATAGTTCTGATAGCACTCACATACCCTCCCGTCTGGGCTGAAGAGAGCTGACATGGGGAGCAGTCCACACAACGTTATGTTCATTTCAATCAGTGCCAGAACTAAAGCAACTCATTTGCAGATTAATACTGCAAGATTCACACTTTCCTTGGCATCCAGTATTAACAGGCACCTTAACATGAATAATCCATTGTTCATCCCCTATCTGTTTCTACTGGCTGCTGTCATGGAAGAGGCAAATACATGAAAGTTGCTGATGCAGTCTGTTTCATGTGCATGCTGAAGTGAGAAGCAGTGGTAATCTAGCAGTGCTGCATGACTGAATTTGCTTTCTTCATAGTATGGCTTAGAATCCTTGAAGAAAAATGTGCTTTGCATTTTCAGAAAAACCCTCACAATTCCCCATGCCAGGTTTCATCCCCCACTTCTCTGCTGCCAGTTTTTGGGAAGCGTTTGAGAAAAAGGCAGTCATTGAGTTTGTATTTCACATACCTTAAACATACCAAGATTCTCTTCCTCTGATGGAAGGAAGGGAGATTTCTTCTGTCAAAGGAGGTGCAGCTTTGGATCCAGTCCACTGCGTCACAGCAGCAAGGACATGCCTCATACGGGTATACTGATTGAGGAGCTAGGATTGGCTGCTTCACTTGCCCTGTCTCATATGAACAAACTGCCACGAATGTAGACATTCTGTGATAGCGATTTTTCAGCTTACCTCTCATAGAAAGGAAAAAGTGTCTTTGACCTTTTCCATTTAGGTAAGCCTGAATATCCAGCTCAGGTTTTCTTGTGTCCCATTATTCCTTGCCTGTAGTCACCTCTAGCTTCTTGCATCTAGTTAAGCACGTGCATTTGTCACGTTCTCCAGTCTAGAGAACAACATATGAATCTGGAGGGAGAGGAGCCTGTGAAAATACAAACGCAGAGTGGATGGACCTTCAGGGTCTCCTGCAGCTCTTGCAATCTGGTGAAGCCGGAGTGACAGTGGGGGCCTTCTTGGGACACTTGCTGTGCACATTTGCGAATGACGAGAGAACTCATTCCGTGAAAATGACACTTTCAGGACATTTGGTCACTAGTTGGTCCAAGGGCCACATCAGGCTCTGACTGTTCCTTCCTGTATCCCTCCCTGCTCATGGAGGCTTTCCATATCCCAGTCCAAACTGCCATGTTTGCTTGGCTCCTGCATGGATCAAGGCGCCTTGTGGCCGTGAGTGGCTTGGCAGCAGACAGTGTCTGGCAAAGGCGCCACGTGAGTAACTTTGCTCCCACACTCCGCTTGCCCCCTCTGAATGCAGACAAAACTTCACTGGGGTGAGTTTTGCAAATAACACTAATGGCACCCTAGTAACAGCTGCTACGTCATTGTGTTACTGCCGTGTATAGTCTAGCAGCCTAACACCAAAGCCATCTGCCTTTTTGCTTGGCAAGCAAAAACAGTTACTGTCAAATCTCCCCCATCTACCACAGCCGAAGGCACCTCATTTTCTAAAGGGTAGGTAAACTGCAGTCCATGGGCAATTTAGGCTGCTTTAATATAGCAAGCCAAGGAGGGTCTGTGACACTGGTCCCAATGAGGTTACAGGCTGGCCACAGAAAGATGGAATCCTGTGTGGATGAGGCTTTCTTCATCTTCCAAATCTGGAGGATGATTAAAATGATTTCAAAAAGAGGTTAGAAGCTGTTGGATATTGCATTCAAAAATCTGAATGCTTATTTATTTAGATTCTTTCATCTTTATAGACTTTGCTTGAGCAGGTAAGTATCACTACTTGTATACTGTGTACAGTGAAAACTCCAGTCAAAAGAGATGAGCTGAGTTACAGGTGTTGGCTGTGGAGTGGCCCAGAAGGGCCCGGTTTCCAGACCTATCTTGGGTGGTAGGCAGCAGGAAGGGCCTGTGTCATATTTGACAGTTGTTGCCACTTTCCGTAAGCAGTATGGTCCACATGACCTGGTGTTCTTAGTACAAAACAGTGCCTGTGCTTCTGTAACTGATGTTCCAGAATGCTTTACCCACCTTGTCCTTGATTCCTTACTGAATTGACACCTGTGAAGTTTTACTCCCATGTGAGTTTCAGTCTTAGCCTGGTATCTAGAAGTAGATCTACTGCTTTGCATTATTGCTGTTAGTAATCCACTTCGGGACCCTGAATCCTGTTGATGGGTCTTTCTGACCAAGACTTAGGAATCGTACCCTGTCCTTTGGTTGGTTTGTGCTGCCTCTTATTTAAGGTAACAGCTTCTGCTTTAGTAAAACGGTCACTGTGATAAGTAAGATCCAAGCAGTGTTCACTCTGCTCCCTTATGGATTTGCTCCCCTTGTGGGGTAATTGACCAAACTGAGTTGCAGTCATCACGAACAAAGTCTTAACAGTTTCTCCATTTTCAGAGTATCAGAAATCAAATTGTCACATATATAATGCAATGGATAAGGTCACACTTTAATCCGATAGGATGCTGTGCTTGGTATGTGGTATCCCAGAGCAAAGTGTGGCTAACTGATGAGGTCATTGTAGCTCTCCAAAAAAAAGAAAGGTTCCCTGAGCCCTGGCCACATCAAATTTTAATCAAGGCAGTTCCGTTCAGCAAGCCATGTTGGCTCAATTTGATTATGCAAACTAAATCATTATTCACTAATGTGAACCCTAAAGGCATTTGAATGCCTCTCACACACAGTCCCCCCCGCCCTCTCTTGAACTTGTACTTTTTTTTTTTAGAAATCGAGGTAATCCAGAATGGCTTTGAAGTCCTTTGAATGTTTTGTTCCCATCTTTTCAAGCTTCAAAGGCATACCTTGAAAGAGAGAGCGCAAGAAGTTCTTTAAAAAGCTTTAGTAAAACTGGTAACAATAAAACTGAAATAACCAGATAGCGCAAAGGAGAGGGAGAGGTCTTATCCACAACATAGATAACAGCGGCTTTCTCCAACCAGGTGCCCCGGACAGTAACTTGGTCCTTGGTCTGCATCAGACAGGGAGAAGGGGGACCCGGTGGAAGCACAAAAGTTTGCATCGGTCTGACAGTTCTGATGAAAGGAGCACGCAGTCCACAAGCTTGAAATCTGTTTGGCCCATTCATTTCCTGTCAGAGGCTACATAGCAAGCAGCCTCACAGTAGGTGCATCTCTGACCTAGCCATAACCCTTAGAGTTACTTGCAGTGTGGACTTTCCAAAAGGTTTTTGTGTCTTAGTGGCTGGTGCTGGTGCAGTAACTCCCAGTGCAGTCGGCGGGCTGTTGCAGAGAAGCAATGGCCACTTGCGCTTTGGAAGGAGCTTCCATGTGGACTACCTTGCTTGGTAGACCAGGAATTAAGAGAATGCTGAGTGAGTAAGGAGAAACTTGCCCTTGTCTATACCGTTTGCTTGTGCCTCCCTAGGGATGATCCACTCACATTTTAGGAGAAGTGGAGGTTAAGTTGGGGTGCTTCTGCTTTGATGAAAGGAAATCTGTATGAACAATGTTTTACAAGCCATGTCTCCTCAGGACACAAAGAAGTCAGCAAGAGGAAGAAACAGAAGCTGAGGGAGGAGCAGAAGAAGAAGAAGTCGGCCAAGGCACCATATTAAAACGGACTGCGAAGCCCTAAACACTGACCTGTTGTTGTTGTAACATTTGACCCCACCCAGATTCCTGGTGCATATCTTTCTTATGGCTATTCTCACTTAGTGAGGGAGGTGGCAACTCCTGATTCAAGTACACCTAACTTGCACTATTCTGCTTGAGCACCACGGATTGGCTTGAGTTTTGTAAGACATCCCAGTCAGAAACCCGTTCCGTAGAAGTCATTTCCATTTCCTTCAGTGGGTGTGACTTGCAAACTGTGTGTTTAGGATCAGGATGTTGAGTAATACGCAGATTCTAGCTAGAAATATGCTATTCTTCAAGTTCAGAAAATGTAATATTGTGGAACTTTTTGACCTCTTCCTTTCCTGGGGCAAAAGCTACTTGCAGTTTAGGGTTTTTCTTTCCTTCTAGGGCTATGAAGTTGTAAACAATGTCTTTATTTTTTAAAATCACAATTTTGATCATGGACTATTCTGACTTTCAAAAAACCATCTAAATTGATTCATAGTATTTTTCTTATTTAAATTTCCCCCAGAGAAGAGCTGGATTTAAGGTTTAACTTTATCATGAGCCTAATACCTGAGTGATCTTAGTTGTTTTTCTGCATTATTTTCCCCAGTGGAAAAAATAAATTATGTTTCCTGCTTACCCACGCCATTATTTTTGTGCTCTGCCTCTTGAATGCCATCTGAGAGAACAGCTTTCCAGTGTGCTGCTTTCTGAAATCGACCCTTGTGAGTTGACTGTGGTCTCTTGATCTCTGTCAAACCAAGTAACAACAGATGTACACTAGTTTGCTGGATGTCAGCCATCATGAAGACGTTTTTGTGCTACATACTAGGTAAAATTAGGATCATAGCCTGCCAATTCTGTAGGTCAGTATGTGGCACTACATTGGCCAGGGGAAGACTAAGAGCTAGAATAGTTCCTTAGTTCATTAGGTGTGTACAGTCTGTGGTGATTCATGCTTAGGCTAAAGTGGTGGATGAGGACCCACACATATTTGCCTGGGAAATAAAGGATTTGATTATAGCAAGACAGCTTCCTTCCCTCTCCATATAATTGTTTAATTTGCATGGTGCATAACTTTTGTTAACCTCAAAACTAAATACTAAGTTGGAGCCTTAGGTTCCTTTCTTCCAAGCATGGTTACTGCAAGTAAGTTGCCTTCTTGCTGCTTAAAATTGTCAGCTGCTTTGGTCTCCTGTGAATGTTTTTCTTCCCAATAAATTATGTGATTCTTGTTCTCCTTGGCACTGTTAGAAAGCCTAATTTCCTGGAGAGAAATCTTTAATTAGTGTCTAATAATGTAGCTTAGGTCAGGAAGACGATGCAAAAGGATTTGGGATACTTCTCTGGATTCATCTTTAATGCGTGTATTATGAAAATATAATCTTATGCAACTCCTTAGGGTATTTAAAATGCAATATGTCTAAAGTAAGGTGCAGAACCTTTTTTGTTATGTAGATATCACGGAAATGTGTCATGCAGTGTTACTAATATTTAAAGAAATAAAGTCAGTTCCCTTATTCCATGGCTTTTTTTTTAATATGAAGATTACAAAAATATTTGTGGCATCAGAAAATAACCTTCTGGGCACTAAACCAAATGCGAGATCTTTGTAAACAAGTCTTTATTTGCTTAAAAAGATGGTTTAAAGTTTCAGAATAGAAAGTGGTGCATTTATTTGATATGCTAAGAGGTAAGATCAAGAGATGTGGGAAACTCCTGTGCACAACCCCCCCCCCCCAAAAAAAAGCTGAAAATGACAATATTGGCTTGGCTGAAGACAATAGGATCAGAAGACACATCTATCGGAACAATTGTGGGAGTAGAAACTCTCACTGGTCTCAAATGAGATAAATTAATAAGAGTGTTTTATTTAAGAGTGTAACTCCGCATTTTTGAACAATAAAAATGCCTACACATTTCTCCCACAAAAACTCCCAGCGTGGCTCATAAGCGAATACTGGGTTGGATCCATCAATTAACAATTAGACATTTTTTACCCTTCTATAGCCAAACATTTTTGCTATCAATGTAAAAACTTCCACAATAAATAGATTACACAACATCTTTAGAATATACATGCAAAATTCTTTATCATCTTACCTAGTGCCCTAAAAACAAAAAGTTACGATTAGTACCATTTAAAATAGAATGTCTCATTGGCCCCTTTCTGTGATTATATTGTTCTAATATACTTGTAACTGAAATACACTTTCAGGTTCTTTACATATATTAAGACCCCAACTTTTATGTTCTGTGAGTTGCTAGAATGACTATGTTGTTTGTATGGGGTTCAAAGTAAGTGAAGGGACATAATTATGACTCCATTCTCGCTTTAATAGGAATCAAGAAAAGATGTTCCTTTGGGGCATTAGAGATCGAGGCTGACCAGATTGACATATGCCATAGGCAAATCAAACTACCTGGCGGAATTTCAGGGGGTCATGCTTGAGTAATGTAGACCTGTTGATTTTGGTCACCTTGGATTATTTTTTAACTTGCACTTACAGCACACCTCAGTGGGAAATCAGATAGGTAAATTGTGGGCAGAGCCAGCTTACAGGTGTTACAACTGGAGGAAATGATCTGGTTCTCCTTTGAGAGTCAGTCATCTGAGCTGTTAAAAACGCCAACTTTTCTTACAGATCAAACATGCACGGAAAGTCTAATCGGGGCATGTACATTCTAAACAATGGTCAAACTGGAATATTCATGATGATTTTTGAACAGGAGCAGCAGAGACATCCCATTCATTGTAAGCTTGGGAAAAACATGGCTGCCTGGTAAAAGGCCTGGTGAGGCATCAGAAGGGGGGGTGCCATTGCCACTCCCTCCCCCTCGTCAAAGGGACAGGTGGGGTCTCTAGGTTGCCAATCTTGGCCATGCGCCATTGCTGAAGAGGAAGGCTGGGAAAGGGACTTTGTTTCCTTAGATTTCATGGCCAGTTTTTTGTGAGGTTGCGAAAAGCAGGCACCTGCCCGCAAGAGGCCACCTCCTTTCCATTCCTGTCCAAGATAGGCCCACTGAAACAGCCCTCCACTGGCAAGCTGCTGTCCCATGATGGTGAATGAGCATCTCTCTGCTGATACCTGTGGTCCCAGGCCACCTTGCTGCTTGGAGATTCAAATCAAACATTTCACCATTTCCTGTAAGGGACAGGTAAGTCAAACAAAAACTAGAAAATGCTTTGAGCAAGCCTGCTTGTGCAGCTGATGAGCTGGAGCAGCAGTTCTCATCAAGGGCTGACTCTTACCCAATTCTGTTTCACTATATGGAATTTTACATTTCAGGGAAATCCTTTGCAAAACCTGAATGAACCCTAATGCTGCACGGTATTTCCAGTTCGGTGGTCAAGGGCCCAATTCTCTAGGAATTCTCAGTTATTGAAGATGACACTGCAAAAAGCATATTCACAAGCTTTCGTTGTAGTTTGTTTTCAGTACTTCCAGCACTATAGTATGCCTGATCATTCTTTTTCTCTGTCCTCCCCTTTACAATGTAGTTGGGCCTTTGGCATCCACACCTAACACATAGATAGCATGTCACCATTAATAACCATTAAGACCAGTGAATTGGCCAGAAGTACAGACATCCTCCTCCTACATAATGCATTGTGATGTGCTGCCAAGTCATCTCCAACTTATGGTGGCCCCATGTATGAAAGCTCTCCCAAAGCCCCTCTCCATGGCAGCCTTCAGCTCTTGTACATTCCTGTCTTCCATTATGGAGTCCATGCATCTCATACTTGGTTTTCCTTTTCCTCTTCTGCCTTCAATTTTCCCCAGCATGGTTGTCTTCTCCAAGGAGTGTTGCCTTCTCATGATGTGTCTGTAGTATGACAGCCTCATTTGTGTCTTTCTTGCTTCGGGAAAAAGCTCTGGCTTGGTTTGGCCTAGTACTCATTCATCTTTCTGTTGGTCCAGGGTATTCACAAAGCTGGCCTCCAATACCATGTTTCAAATGCATCAATTTTCTTTCTGTCAGCTTTCTTGACTGTAATTGCATATGGTCTGACGTTTAAGGCATGTTTATTGGGAAGCAAGAACAGTAATGATTCAAGATTCAGATAATGTAAAGGTGGAAGGTTCCTGGGTTTTGGGGGACGCTGATCTTCTGAAAAGGAGACTCAGCCCAACATTACTTTGAAATGCCTAGCTTTTATCCTGCATCAAGTTTCTTTTGAAATAAGCCGCAGGACATAAAAGATGGGCATGTGATCATGTCTTGTGAAACTGAGGAAAAGAAGGGTGTTTCCAGATACCAGCTTTATTACTTTTGCCTGAGTTCACATTAATGGAAATTTCCTACAATAATTTAATGAGCATGCCTTTCCTAGCTGTGGTTTAGCAGAATGCTAAAATGGAAAATCACCTGAGGATGAGTCAGTGACATAAAAGGACTCTCCATTTTGTAAGATCAGAGCTGAACCACAGTCAAGCAATCTTTAGTTATTCTAAATCATATTATCTTGAAATGATCTACCATCACTACCTAAGAATTTTATTCTATTTTTAGCTCTCTTTTTTGCCCCAGCTGGGACCAACCAGGAATATCTTTATTGAAACCCGCATTAAAACAGCAGATTAGAATTAATACTCAAAACCCTGATACCTAAAAACATGTGAGGAGTGGCAGAGATGATTGTGAGTTTAGACTGGATTACCCTTGTCAAAACCTGACCAAAATATGCTGCATCCTGATTTCTGAAGCACAGAATGCCCTCCCTTGCTGATACAACAATGAGGTCTTACAGTCAATATATATCATTGTCTTTCTATGCTTGAGTTAAATTGTTTAAACACAGACCATACCTGAACAGGATACAGAGGTGTCTTTTTTCATCTCTTTTATCTTTTATCTCTTAAGGCGCTTGGCCAGGATCTGCAAAACTGAGATCAATTCCTTGAGCTCAAGGTGCAAGACCAAACCTACAACCATCTGGGCTCCAAGCCAAGCACTTCTTCAATAATTTACTTCATTTCCATAGTATCTGAATACCTTACTTTGCATTGCATTTGTAGCATGCTTCACTAGTTTGATTACAACATGTAAGCACTATTGGTCTCTCGGAAATAAAGTGGTAACATGGTACAGTTGAATCTGATTATGCAGATACAATTTATTGAATGGGTTCGGAGAGGGTACTTCAGGAACGTATTTCTGCCCTGCATGGATTGTCTGTAACCTTCTGAGCTAGGAGAGTTCAGAGCAACCCAATTGCACAGATGAAGAAATCCAAAATGAATATAACACCCCCCATCAGTAGAACCCATAATCAGCCCAATACTACGCATAAAGACGTACAAAACGCGTGCAAAACCCTTAAAGAAAGCAATGCAATATGAAGCATTCAGGCACAATATACAAACATCATTTCCCTTTCATAATTAGATTTATTTTGGTATTATGTTTTTTAAATGTATTCTTACAAGCTGAATTTTAACTTTAATTCAAAAATTTAAGGGTGTTAACCTTAAAAAGCAGCCCACTACTAACATTGAAAATAAGTGGCAGCCCCTGCTAGGCGCTGCTCGAGTCAGCCCTGCCTAGCTGGGAGAGGCAGGTCGACTTCTTCCCCAGCTGCAATCCACCACAGCACTGCTGCCTGCATGAAAAACTGCTTTGCAAGCCAAGGGATATTCCGTGAGTTTAAGTGTGGGCTTGTACGGTGAAACGTGCTGTGCAAACTGCGAGCAAACCGAAACCTCAGTGCCCCCTTCCAACAAATGAAGATTCATCCGGGTGGTGAAAATGACTTAGCTGTTCAAATATGATCGAAGGATCTTCGAGAAAGGCCTTACGTATCGTTCTGCATATGCTTGTGTCTTGCAGGTGTTTGACAGCCGCGAACATGCGTTGGCTACACAATGAGGCTCTGCAGTCACTAGTACCGCAAGGCTAAGTTGTGATGCGCGTAGGTAACTCAGTTTGCTCCAGCCACCAAGTCAGCAGAATCTGCAGCGATGAACAGATATTTGGAGAAAAGCGCCCCCGTGTGGCGAACACATGCAGTACAAGCAGACAACAGTAAAAACACGGAGAGGATCCAGAGTCTTGCTGTGGTAAAGAGGGGCAGTTTGGACATTCGCGTTTTGCGTGATGTTTCCGAAATATTCTGCTCCGTATTACGTTCTCGCGAACGGAGTAGCAAAGGGAGCTGACTTTGCTGTTGTTTTAAGCCTCCCTTAAACTTGCAAGACACTTCTTTTAAGCAGAGTGTTTTCCAGTGTTTTGATAAATGGAGTGAGCTAGATGCAGAGAGCTTTCTAGATTAAAAATAGAAGCATACCATGTTTCCACCCCAAAAGTGTGATTGTCCAATAAATGCAAAAATTTAATGCCAGTATATTTCCAAATTAGCAAACAAAACAGTACTGTTCTCAAAAGGCTCTGTGGGAAATACTTCCACTAATGTATCAGCTTGTGGGACTTCAGATTTATGAAAAGCTGTTTTATTTGGATGGTGAGATTTTTGGCATGCACATCACTCATCAAACTAAAGTGCACCAAACTTCTATTT